GTCCTTTAAAAAATATTTTTAAACTAATGTTAGGAAGAGGACGCCTGCCTTCTGAGGTGGCCTGTGCTCGCTCCCTATCGCTGCCCGGCGGATTTCCCCCAGCCCTAACACCTCGAAACACAGCAGACGTTCCTGGTCTCACACAGATCCTGTGGGCAGGAGGCTGGGGCGGCTGACCTGGGCGGTTCTGCCTCATTTGTGAAGTCAGTTGGTGAGCATTCATTCTGAAAGGCCGTGAGAGGTTGCCTGGGTCTGCAGGGCCTCCTTCCCGGGTGAGAGGCCTGAGCCCCCGGCCTTGGCCACCTCTCTGTGGGGCTGCCTGAGGGTCCTCAAGACACGGCTATGGCCTCCCCTGGAATGAGTGGTCCTAGAGACAGCCAGGTGCACGGTGCCACTTCTTCCATCACCTTGCCATGCAAGGCACACTCTATTTTTCTCCCCCAAAATATCTAGTTGGTGACCCTGATAGTCCCTACTCAACATGGGAGGGACCACACAGGGGCGTGAGCACCAGGAACGGTGGCCCAGCATCCGGGCGAATCTCGGAGGCTGGTGAGCGGATGCCCTTCCTGGGCAGGGAGTGTGCCAGCCCCTTCTTTCTCCCTCCCCTGTGTCTGGAATAACAAATGGATCAATTGCCATTTTGTGGCTGAGAATATGTGAACAGGGCAACGCTCAGGGCTGGCTGAGCAGCAGAATAGGAGCCTGGGGCCTGCCCAGCCCTGCAGAGCTGCCGGGCCAGCCCCAGAGTGAGTATCAGACGTGAGAAGGAAAGACAAGTCTGTCTTCTTAAAAAAATTTTTTTGCTAAGATTTACTTTATTTATCCAGAAGGCAGAGTGACAACGAGAGAAGGAGAGACAGAGACAGCTCTTCCAACCACTGATTCATTCCCCAAACGGCCATGATGGTCAGGTCAGGTCAGGCCAGGTCAAAGCCGGGAGCCAGGAACTCCATCCGGGTCTCCCACACGGTGGCACAAGGCCCGTTTGCTGCTGCTTTCCCAGGTTCAGTAGCAGGGGCTGGGCCGGAAGCGGAGCAGCCGGGCCTCAGCCTGGAGCTCCCCATGGGATGCTGCGGCTTAACCTGCTGCACCACAACGCCAGCCCCGTGTGCGTGTTATCGAAGCAACCGCATTTCCCACGCGTGTCCAGCAGCCTCGTCCGACCACTGACGGAGCTGCCCCTTTGTGGAGGCAGTGGCCCTCCTCGCCCAGCCTCTCAGCTCCTTGAGCTCTGGGTCTGTGTGAGGTGAGGCGGTGAGAAGGTGGCTCTTAGCAGCCGTGTCTCAGCCCCGCCCTCACCTCCCACGGCCCCCTCCCTCTCCGTGCGCGGTGGCTGGGCTGCTCAGAGCACTGCCCACTGAAGTAGAACCGTTTCCTTTTTAATGTTTTCCCTTATTTTATCTATCTGTCTTGATTTGAAAGGCAGAGTTCTTCCTCCCACCTGCTGGTTCACTTCCCAAGTACCCCCAGCAGCCAGGGCTGGGCCAGCCTGAAGCCAGGACCCAGGACTCAGACGGAGGCACTGCGCTACGGGACGCGGGTGTTCTACCCAGCGTCTCACCTGCTGCACCGCGGGATTGCCAACCGCCCTGCAGGAGAGAACCCGCCAGCCACCCTGTAAGGGAAGCCTCTGCTTTTTCCTACGATAGCCATCCGCCTAGATGCACTCGGTCTAGAAAGTTCTTCCCACAAATCCATTGGCTCTCTTGACCCTGAAAGCATCTCTGTGAGTCCCCCTTCCCGGGTGTGGAAAGTGAGTCTCAAACAGAGCTGGTAGGGAAGGGACGGAGAGCGGAAGGGGTGGGAGGCGACAGACTCGGTGGCTTGGGTTGCCCTGGTCACAGCCCCATCGCTCTGCGCAGTGTCTGTGTCCCCAGCGCCTGCAGGGCCCTTGAGGGCAGGGGCTTGCTCAGATTTATTCTGAAGGTCCTCCGTGCTTACTGTAAGAGTTTGTTGAATGAATGAATGAGGGTACATGCGTAGATACTTTATACGAGAGCCCCGGTGGGAGCCAGAGAAGTGAGACCGTGGGTAGAAGGTGCGTCAGAGGGAGGCCAGGCTGTGTGCCCCTTCCCACGCTCCTGCCTCTCATCAGTACCACAGGAGCCCCAGGCAGGGCTTTCTTTTTTTTCTTTTTTAAAAGATTTATTTATTTATTTGAAAGGCAGTGTTACACAGAGAGAAGGAAAGGCGGCGGGGGTGGGGTCTTCCATTCTGCTGGTTTACTCCCCAAATAACTGAAACAGCCAGAGCTGCACTGATCTGAAGCCAGGAGCCAGGAGCTTCTTCCAGGTCTCCCACATGGGTGCAGGGGCCCAAGCACTTGGGCCATCTTCTACTGCTTTCCCAGGCCACAGCAGAGAGCTGGACCGGAAGTGGAGCAGCCAGGACTCAAACCAGCTCCTATATGGGATGCCGGCACTGCAGGCAGTGGCTTTACCCACTACGCCACAGCACCAGCCTGCAGGCAAGGCTTTCAAAGCCAGCATCCACCGAGTGCTTAGTAAACAGTGGACAGCACCCGAAGCAGTCTCCATAGATCAGTTTGGGTTCCATGAGGCAGGCGCTGTTACTGTTTTCCCTTTACAGATCAGCAAGCGGAGCCTTCCGACAGAAAAGCTTCTCCCAGACCCTTGACCCTCAGTGGTTCTGTTCCAGCCTCCAACCCCCGCCCGGGAGACTCTGGGTTAGGACAGTTCACAGGCACGTGGCATCTATTCTATCTCAAAGTTTAAAAAGAATAACAACACGTGAGGAAGATCTGTCCAGTGCCACCATCTGGCCGCAGCTGTTGCCTGCCCTGTGGATGTCCTCGTCCTGTGATGTCCACGTCCTAACTGAGCCTCGCCTATCTCAGTCGGGCCCTTGTTCTCTGGATGAACGCGGGCTCCCGTCTCTGCAACCAAGGGCATGCCTTTGACTCTGTGGGAATGGCCACCCCCTCACATTCCCTCCAGCTGCTTCTGGGAGTCCCTGGGGAATCTCTGCTTGGCCAGCAGCTTCTGAAACCTTAGTGGAGTGACTCTTCCTGTTTTGCTCACTTGTGACAGCGTCTCCCCTCCCCAGGGGTCAGGCCGAGGCGCAGGAGGGCTGCTCACGGGAGCGATGCATCCATGCATTGGGAAGGCGGAACAGCGGCAGGCACAGAGCAGGACGCGGGACACGGCAGTCCCTTCTGTGTGGGCGCCGCCCTCTCACGCTTACAACCCAGCAGGCGACCACTACGAGGAGAGTGCGATGCAATTTCATACCCGTGACAGATTGGAAAGGCCAGTATTCTCAAGTGCCGGGGACGTGGGGAGACGGAGGTTCCCCAGCCCTGCTGCGGACATGCGGATTCTGGAAGTGACTGGGCGGGGTTTAGCAACGTTAACTCTGGGCTTGCGTCATGATCCAGCCAAGCCACTGTTTGGCTGTCATCCCAGAAAGTCTCTCCCCAATGTCCGCGAGACGACATGGCAGGGGCGGTCACTGGATCACAGGCAGAGATCGCACTGATCACTGGGTCAGTGGCCAACGTAGCAGATCTGGGCTGGGTTACCGGGGGAGCCACAAGGAACAGCAGCCTCGATGTGGGGTTGGCAGCGAGGGCAGAGAAAGCCCAACGCAGGACACAGAGCAAGACTCAGTTTTGGAAAGTTGCAACACACGCAAGGAACCCTTCAAAGAAAGTATGCAAGATACATCCTTGTTCTGGGAGAGGGAAGACATGAAATCAATCAGAAACCACCCAGATCAGTTGTTGTGCCCTGGAGGTGATGTTGGCTCAGCTCCCAGCACGCGGAGACATCGCACACTGGCAAACTCCGGGGTCCAGTGCAGGTGCTCTGGGGGCCACCCCGGGCTGCTCTGCTTCGTGTTTTCCCTTCCAGCCTTGGTCCAGACCTCAAGCCAACGCTCCGTGTCCGGGTTCTCATCACTTCCTGTGAGTTCTCTGCCGGAAGTGCACAGAGAGCAGACCCCAGCTGCTCCTGCACAGATCCTGGCAAGGCCCGTGGGACGGCAGCCACAGGGATGAATGCAGGGCTATGGGAGATGAGCTGGCGAGACTAAGGCGGGTGGGGTGCTCCAGGGGGTGGAGGGGCCCCATGGAGGAGGGGAGCAGAGGCAGGAACAGCGAGTGGGCGGGGCATCCAGATGACGTGGAGTTGGGGAGGGCTAAGGTGGAGCGTGGGAGATCACGTACTCACCGTGCGAAGGTGCCAGGGCACCAGACAGGGCTGGGGTGCAGGGTCCAGGTCCTGCTCCCTGGGGTGGCCCAGCGCCCTCTCTTGCCACTGCGGTCTGTGGCGTCCTGGAAGCCACCCAGACCTACAGTTCTGCACACAAATCCTCGTGGCTGGCGTTTCGCACTGTGGTTTTGTTTCTGCCTCTCTGTTCACGGCTCTGGGTATCTCCCTGACTACAGCCAAGGCCCTGGAGGGACGGCAAGGGCCCTTCTGCCAACGACAATGTCTCTGGTTCTTTGCCAGCCGGCAGCAGCCCGGGAAGGCGGTGTACTCACTGGCCCGTCTCTACCGTGGCCGAGTGGAGGAAGAGCGGGAGCAGACGCGGGTGTAGTGCCCTTCTACTCTGTTCTTCCAATCCGCCTGTCCACCAATGACTTGGTGCTTTCCCTGTTTCACGGACGTGGAAATTCTGGCCCAGAGAGGGAAGCTAACCAGCCCGAAGTCACACAGCAGCCACGGAGCGGCTGGGTGAAACCCTGATGGGCTGGCTGTGGCTCTTGTCCTGTCTACTGGTCCAGCCCATGGCTGGTGGAACCTGGGGCAGGTTCATTATTTTCCTTCTCCCACCCAGTCTTTCCCAGAGTGGCTAATGTGAAAATAGCAACAGCTGGCCTTACTGGGGGCTCCCTCTGTCCCAAGCATTCTGCTAGTTAAAAAAAAAAAAAAAAAAACAAACTAACCAATGAATTTAAAATTGCATTAAAATATACATGAAACACTGTAACCATCTTTAAGTAGAGTCGCAATATTGATCACCATCGTCACCACTTTAGATTTTTTTTTTTTAATTTGAGAGACAGAGAGGGGGAGGGCCGGCATCTGGTGGAGCAGCTAAGATGTCCCTGGGTCCACTGCATCCCATGTTGTTGTGCCTGAGCTCAGGGTCTGGCTCTGCTTCTGATTCCAGCTTCCCGCTAATGTGCACCCAGGGAGGCAGCAGGCGATGGCTCGGGGACCTGGCTTCCTGCCGCCTGCAGGAGGCTCGTCCTGAGCTCCTGGCTCCTGACTTCATCCTGGCGCAGCCCTGGCTACCATGGGCGTCTGGGGAGAGAACAAGTCAATGGAGGATTCCTGTCAGTCTCTTTTTCTATACCTTACAAATAAAATGAAAAACAAATAGAAATTTTGAGACACACACACACACAGAGCACTCCTGTTTGCTGGTTCCATCCCTAAATGCCTGCACTAGCCAGGGCCGGGCGGAGCTCAGGTCTCCTGTACAGGTGGCAAGAAAATCCGGGTGTTTGAGCCATCACTTCTGCCTCCCAGAGTGTGCACTGGCAGGAAGCTGGAGTCAGGAGTTAAGGCTGCCCAAGGCCAGAAGCCCTCGGGGCAGTGGGTGAAGTGTGGGTGTGGGTGTGGGTGTGGGTGTGGGTGTGGGTGTGGGTGTGGACGGGCTGGCCGGCAGGCCAAGGAGGGGACAGCCATTGCTCTCTGAACAGCCGTCTGTCCTTGTGGGGGAGAGGGCAAGTGGCTGGGAGGAGTGACTCACCAGAGTCCCTAGTCACCTCTGATGCTTGGGGACAGCCACCCAGGGGCTTCCGGAACCCTGCCCTCAGCGTGGCGTCGAGCATGCTTGCAGCCACTGGACGGCCCCTGCTCTTGGAGGTGACCTTGTCGAGGCTTGGAAATGTGGAAATGTTCCCTGCAGATCCTAGAGCAAACCAGACTCTGGTTTTCCCCAGAAAATTCCAGCACATGGGCCCAGCAGGCTCTACTGGGCTGCCCCTGGTGAGATGATAAATGAAGTTCAAGTTTTAACCTATTTTATTTTAGTTAGTCATTATGTTTAAATATTCATTTTAAATTTAAGCTTTATGTATTACCATAGTAAGAATTTGAAAGAGAGCAAGACACACAGGGAGAAGTACATGTTGTTCTTAATACACCCCGGCGCTCCTCTCCCAACGTTAAGTTCTGCCTTTTTTAAAAAAAGTTTTATTTATTTATTTGAAAGGCAAGAGAGGGAGAGAGAGAGAAAAACAGATCTTCCATCTGCTGGTTCATTCCCCTAATGGCTGCAACAGGCAAGGCTGGGCCAGGCTGAAGGCAGAGCCGGGGAAGTCCATCCAGGTCTCCTGCGTGGGTAGTAGGGGACCAAGCACTCGGGCCATCATCTGCTGCCCACCCAGATGCCTTAGCAGGGAGCTGGACCAGAAATGGAGCAGCCTGGACTCAAACCAGCACTCATGGAAGCCAGCGCCAGAGGCAGCAGCCCAACCTGCTGTGCCACAGCAGTGGCCCAAAGTGAGGTATTTCTTACGTGTCTTGCTGGAGTTCACCTACCCCAGGGTGAAATGCTTTCTGTAAAGTAGCTAATATTTTAGGCTTTGCAGGTCCAGCCCTTCCAGACAACATGTAAACTAATGAGCATAGCTGGGTCCCGGGGAAAGTTTATCCAGGGTCGTTGACATGTGAATTTCCTACCAGGTTCTTTTAGCCATTAAAAATGTGAAACCTGCCGGCGCTGCGGCTCACTAGGCTAATCCTCCGCCTTGCGGCGCCGTCACACTGGGTTCTAGTCCCGGTTGGGGCACCAGATTCTGTCCTGGTTGCCCCTCTTCCAGGCCAGCTCTCTGCTGTGGCCAGGGAGTGCAATGGAGGATGGCCCAAGTGCTTGGGCCCTGCACCCCATGGGAGACCAGGATAAGTACCTGGCTCCTGCCATCGGATCAGCGCGGTGCGCCGGCCGCGGCGGCCATTGGAGGGTGAACCAACGGCAAAGGAAGACCTTTCTCTCTGTCTCTCTCTCTCACTGTCCACTCTGCCTGTAAAAAAAAATAAAAATAAAAATAAAAATGTGAAACCATTCTTAGCTTCTGGGTCATAGAAAAGCAGGCTGGATTTGCCCTGCTTGCTGACAGCTGCTCTGTTGGTGTGCAAACCCACACCTCCTCACACACATATACATGTATAACATACATGTCAATGTTTGACATAACATCCATATATCTGCACGTTTCAGTAGGATATCAGCACATTTTTATTTATTTGAAATGCAGAATGACAGAAAGACAGAGAGATCTTCCACCTGCTGGTTCACTCCCCAAATGCCCCCAATGGCAAGGCCTGGACCAAGCCGAGCCAGGAGCCTGAAATTCCACCGGGGTCTCCCACGTGGGTGCAGGGGCCCAAGCACTTGGGCCGTCTCCCACTGCCTTCCCAGGTGCACTCGCAGGGACCTGATGGGAAGTGGAGCAGCTGGGAGTCGAAGCAGCGCTCGGATGTGCGATGCGGACACCACAGTGTCTTCTGCACCCCATCTTACCAGTGCTGGCCCTGCCCCCACGGGAGAAGAAGCTGGCCCTCCAACTGGTGAAAACTTGTTCAAGGTCGCACAGCAAACAGAAGGCAGAGCCAGAGGCCAACGTCATGCTTTTCCCAGGGAGCTGCGTCAGCCCATCATTAATTAAACAAGGGCGTCATGTTTTTGTTTATAAACATGTCACCGTCACCTGGACCCATGGCAGTCCTGTAGGGCAGGCGGCAGACCTTACTGCTGTAGCCAGAGGACAGATGACGGAACTGGGTTCTAGGAGTTCCACGGTCACAGCTTGACTCTGTGCCCAGTGCCTTATCAACCTTAACTCGTGGCATTCTCATAGCCAACCTTGGGATTCTTTAGCCTTGAAGGGAGCAAGATTCAATTCACTGGGAAAACCAGGATTCGACTCCTGGTCTGTCTAGTCCCAAACGAATGCTATTTCCCACCAGGGCTGGGCAGGGACCCCTTGCGTTACCCCTTTCCGCCACCGCGGGGACAGGTGGCAGGTACTGATTTCTCTGCCTTCACCACTGGCGACACGAGCAGGTGACTGGAGTCGAGGGCGAGAGGGAGGGGCTCGGCGCGGAGGCCAGGCCAGCGGGCCTGCAGCGATCCTCCGAGCCCCAGTCTGCGGTTCCAGCGGCAGCGGCTTAGGGACCACCTGTTGCACAGGCTCCTGCAGTCTCTAAGTGGTCTCCCGGGGCAGAAGCGCTCCGTACCTGCGCGGGCGCACTCGGAGCGCGCACCAGGCTCGCCTGCGGCGGCTCCGCAACCATGGGTGGTCGCAAGGGGCAGGGGGCGTGGCACAATTTGACTATTCTCTCCCATTGGCTCATGGGGCGGAAGTGGGCGGGCTCAACTCAATCCACCTGCGGTAGGGTGGAGCGAAAGGAACTTCGGGGCCGGAAGAGTCGAGGAGCCGCCTGGACTCGGTGAGAGACAGGCCCCGCCTCTGGTAGGTGGGGAGCCGCTTCCATCGCCCCCAGCCACCCCGAGCTGCCCAGCAAGTGCGGGCTCGCTGTAAAAGCGAGTCTGCTGGAGCAAGATCCCGAACAGAGTAACACGGGTTACTTTGACTTGGGGGGGCGCGAATTTCCCTGAGGGTTGGGAGTGGGGTATGGTGGGGGTAGGAATGGAGACTTTCAATCCTTTCGTGCCTGTGAACAATGGAAACCTAATAAGGCGTAGGTTTAAAACTATATACATATGTACACACACATACACATATATGTGCACACAGGTTCAGCTACAGGTGATACATAGTCAGATCTTCTTAGGCCACTCCGGAACAGCCTGGCATTCGAAGTCCTTTGCAACTTGCCCCAGCGTCCTTCCCACCTGTCCGGTCGGCCCAGACCCAGAGCTACAGCCCTGTGCATTGGTGTCTGTGCACAGCCTTGGGATTCTGTCCTCCTTAAAACAGCTCCACCTTTGACATCTCACCCTCAGGAGTCACCGGGAGGCCCCCTCTCCCCTGACCCACAGTCGGAATCCACCTTTGCCTCCCTGTGTGGTCACCCATCAAGGTAGGTTCATCAGCCCCGCCCCACATCCTTGGCCCTGAGTCATGCATCAGTTCCACAAACATGTAGAGCACCCGCTGTTTGCTAAGGCGCTGGGTTGGGGCTGGGAGCCAGCCCTGAGCACTCCTGCTCCTGGGACTAAATGGACAGAGCAATGCAGGGTTTGGGTTGTCAGCGGTGACCAGGGCGGGAAGGGAAGGGAAACAGCAGAAGGGGTGTGCCCTAGAGAGCCACGAGGGTTCTCCTTTGGTTCAGGGGTTACAATGACTTCTGTGGGGAGGTGACGTCTTAGGAGTTGTCTGGCTGATGTGAGAGAGGGCACCGTGCAGTTCCTGCAGCGAGAATGTCCCTGCTGAGGGAGGAGCCATGTGCCCCGTCAACACCCAGAAAATGGACATTGGCTTAAGTTCGACAGTGAGGAGGGGGAAATGGCCTCCGATCCAGGGGCTGAGGGAGGGTGACTTCTCCCAGGCTCCAGGAGCAGCCTGCCTGGCCTCCGCCCCAGTGGCTGAGCTGTGACCAGTAGCCTGTTTGGAAGCCACACCCAGCAGGCCAGGCTTCTGCAGGGAGGCAGCGCGCGATAGTGGAAGAGAACCTCATCCTGGACCCAAGTCCTGCTGTGGCCCTCGCTGCTGTGGTTGTGGGAGCTGCTTGGTCTTCCGCCCTGAGGCTCCGTTCCCACCCTCGAGGTGGGTTAACAACGCCCACCCTGCTGGTGTGTTGTCCAGACCGTAGGCTCTTCACATACCTTCCCTCACCTGCTTCTCGGAGCACTTGGAGGTGTGTCTGGAGGTTTGCCACAGTCGGTAAAAGCGTGCCAAAAGCTGCAGTCGCTAGGATTCCACGTGTGCAATGAAATCCATGTCAGGATCAGCATTAAAAAATGAAACAGATTAGCAGGTGCAGCGTATGGGGGGGTACCTATTCCGTGCGTGTGTGTCTATTGTGAAACATTGTTTACAGGGGGTTGTGGTAAAGAAACAAACTCTCAAAAAATGCTCTTGTTGGCACTGCTGTGGATAAAGCGCCCATCATTGTGGTTTGCACTGAGGGTCACTGTCAGGATGTGACTAGCCAGGCAGCCCCGTGGAATGGCTGTCAGCCCTCCAGAGCCCATGCTAGACAGGTGACATCACCAAGCACACTGGATTGGCCTTTTTTTTTTTTTTTGACAGGCAGAGTGGACAGTGAGAGAGAGAGAGACAGAGAGAAAGGTCTTCCTTTGCCATTGGTTCACCCTCCAATGGCTGCCGCAGCCGGCACACCGCGCTGATCTGATGGCAGGAGCCAGGTACTTCTCCTGGTCCTCCATGGGGTGCAGGGCCCAAGGACCTGGGCCATCCTCCTCTGCACTCCCTGGGCCACAGCAGAGAGCTGGCCTGGAAGAGGGGCAACCGGGACAGAATCCGGCACCCTGACCGGGACTAGAACCCGGGGTGCCAGTGCTGCAGGCGGAGGATTAGCCTAGTGAGCCGCGGCGCCGGCCCTAGATTGGCCATTCTTATTACTGTGACCGTTATTCTTATTATTATTATTAAACTGCTGGAAAACCACGCCGAGCCCTGAGCTCACTGCTCCGTGCTTCTCAAGCCAGGCTCCGCCCAGCCATCCTCAGCTCCAGCCTAAGAGGTAGTCGAAGAGTAGCTAAGAAGATGGGCCCTGGAGCCACGGGGCCTGGGCCCCAAGCCCGGCTCTGGCACTTACCTCCTCTGTGATCCTGGACAAAGCACTCAACCTGTCTGTGTTTCATGGACTTCATTTATTACGCAGAAAAGCTAAGAGGACCTACCTTGTCGAGCCGCTGTGAGGGGCACCCGAAAAATACAGATGCCCCTCACCATGGGGCACTGACTGCAGGCCCCTCTGTGGATGCCAGAATCCTGGGGTGCTTAAGACCCTGCAGAGAGGTGGTACAGGATTTGCTTAGTACCTGCACCTGTGCTCCAGCCTACTTGAAACCATCTCCAGGTTACTTACAACAGCTAAGACAAGACAGCGGCTACACAAATTGTTGTGACAGTGTATTGTTCCGGGAATAATGACAAGGGAAAAAAAAAAAGTCTGCCTGTCCAGTACAGACATCGTGCTTTCAAATATTTCTGTTTCACGGCCGGCTGAGCCTACAGATGTGGAGCTCATGGAAGCGAGGGCGTGGCCGTCCACGGCAGTGTTGTCAGAAAATGCCTGGCGGGCGCCGCACGCTCCAGCAACCTCAGCGGCTATCGTCCATGCAAAGGCGTGGAAGCGCTGCTGGTTGGACTGTAGGCGTTCGAGAAGCCTTGGCCCCGGGAGGCCGCCTGAACCCAAAATGCTGGCACTCGCGGAGGCTGCCCCCCGCCCCCGGCTCCCAGCCGCTCAGCCCCTCTGCCTCTGTTTGCAATCAGCAGCTGAGCTCTGAGCCTCTTGCCTCACTTGCTGACCCCTCCCTGTCTTGCCCAAGGATGCCTCGAGGTTGTGTCTCCATTTCCTCTGGTTGAATGGCTGCCAGGCGGTAGAGGGGCTTCTCGTGGACAAGAGTGGTGCTTCCTCGGCCCTCGCTGCACTCTGGGGTCCTCGCCCCTCTGTCGGGAGCCCCAGCATTGTTCAGGGCCTCCCCGTATCAAAGAATCTTGCAAGTCACCCTCCACGTTAGCCAAGACAGCGGTGTGCACACGCACGGGCCTCCCCACACTTCTGACCAGATGAGCCTCACCAGGCCCGTCGTGTAAGTTAGAAGGGGTTTCACACTATTGTCTTCTACAAATGAGGAGGCGCTGGGGCCCAGAGTGGTCAAGCAATTAGCCTGCGATCACCCAGTGAGGAAGTGGCAGAGCTGGGATCCCAGTCCAGCTCTCTCTCGACTTACCAGTAAAACTCCGTAATGGGGTGAGCATTGTGGCGCAGCAGGTGAAGCTGCCACCTGAGACCCCTGAGACCCTGGTTCGAGTCCCGGCTGCTGCACTTCTGATCCAGCTCCCTGCTAACACGCCTGGGAAGGCAGTGGAAGACGACTCGAGTGCTTGGACTCCCGCCACCCACTTAGGAGATTCAGATGAATTTCTTGGCCCTTAATTTAGCCTGGCCCACCCCTGGCTGTGGCAGCCATCTGGGGAGGGAACCAGTGGATGGAAGACCTCTCTTTGTCTTTCTCTTTGTCTCTCCCCCTCTCTCTCTTACTCTGCCTTTCAAATAAATAAATAAAAATTTAAAAAATAAAAAATAAGAAACCCAAATACCCTAAAACCCATGTGTGTGGCATCTGTTGTGTGCTAGGTTTTGTTTTGCTTTTTAGCGGTAAGCACACTAGCAGTTTAATGAAGAGAATGTACCAACAGGCCAGGCCGGCATCTCACAAAGAACTGAGAGTGGTGCCAGAGTTTGGCCTACGTCATTCATTTCACCTTCAGCCAGCTTGCAGACGAGGGAGCTAAGTGTCTGGGTGCCGGGGCCAGAGCCCCATCATGACCTCCCAGCTGCTTTGCACTGGAGATATAATTGCACTTGCTCCACTGCCCGAGTCCCGCGGTGTCACCCACACCCCATCGCCACCCAGCCAGGCGGGGCTGGGAAGGCAGCTTCGGATGTCGGCTTCCCCTCTCGGACTGGATTTCATACCACACGGACTAGCCCCCCAGCAAGGGACACGTGATGGCTGTCAAGTTCTTTGCTGCACACAAGAAATAGAAGGCCAAGGGGCTGGCGCTGTGGCTCAGTGGGTTAAAGTCCCAGGCTGCAGTGCCAGCATCCCATATGGGCGCCAGTTCTAGTCCCAGCTGCTCCTCTTCCGATCCAGCTCTCTGCTATGGCCTGGGAAAGCAGTAGAAGATGGCCCAAGTCTTTGGGCCCCTGCATCTGTGTGGGAGACCCAGAAGAAGCTCCTGGCTCCTGGCTTCAGATCAGCTCAGCTCTGGCTGTTGTGGCCATTTGGGGAGTGAACCAGCAGATGGAAGACCTCTCTCTCTCTGGCCCTACCTCTCTCTGTAACTCTGTCTTTCAAATAAATAAAAATAATCCCGGCCGGGGTGCTGGATTCTGTCCTGGTTGCTCCTCTTTCAGTCCAGCTCTCTGCTGTGGCCCGAGAAGGCAGTGGAGGATGGCCCAAGTGCTTGGGCCCTGCACCCCATGGGAGACCAGGAGGAAGCACCTGGCCCCTGGCTTCAGATCGGCACAGCGCGCCGACCATAGCTGCCATTTGGGGGTGAACCAATGGAAGGAAGACTTTTCTCTCTGTCTCTCTCTCACTGTCTAACTCTGCCTGTCAAAGAAAGAGAGAGAGAGAGAGAGAGAGAGAAAGAGAGAGAGAAAGGAAGGGAGGGAGGGAGGAAGGAAGGAAGGAAGGAAGGAAGGAAGGAAGGAAGAAAGAAAGAAAGAAAG